TGTCTTCACTCTGGAAAAAGCAAATCTGTCTGTTCTTTCAATATGTCTTACTGGGATTGGTCAAGGTAAGTTTCAGGCTAACTTGGCATAAACCAAGCTTTTCCATTCGTCAAAAATTGAAAAATTAGTCCAACTGGTAAAAGGATGATTTAGGGGTTTTGAAACAATTTGCTGTCAAGGACTTGCTTGCAATGGAGCTCTCTTCCCTCACAAAAAGACATCTCTATAATTATGAATAAAACCCCTAATTTATACTGTGTGAGAACAATATTAAGTGAGATATATCAAAGACAACAAAATTAATTGACAGCATATATGATATTATTATATTTTTATGTTTAACATGCAGCTGCTGTATGTAAAAAGGGCTATATAAATAAACTGAAATTGAGAAAAAGAATTAAAATATCATTATGATTTTTACTGTTTTATTACCATTATCAATATGAATGTTAAAAAAGTTACATATATTTCATTTATATCTTAAGGACCCTATAATCTTCTAATAGTATTAATTTTTTATTTTAAAATGTTTGTGGACTCCCTAGCATCATTTGCAACCTCCTGTAGGTCAAATGTACAACTTACATAACACATGTTTGCAGAAAAGAGTTAATTTAAGAAGATATTTCCACCTAAAACTGTGGCTACCCAAGGATGCAACCTTTAACAGACACAACTCATGTACTCTCAGCACTACTGACCTTTCCCCCAAAATACTGGAGTCAGCAGGGGAGGAGTGAACAGGGCTGCTTCTGTCCGAACAACATGGGTTCTCTGTAGTCCAGAGAGGATTTGTCATTGTCCTCCTCCTCCTAAAGCTGTACCAGCACCAGCCCAGCAGAGTCAGCACAGAGACGGAGATCAGCGGCCTAAACGACAGCAGCATCCTCTTTCCACCGATCCCACTGAGAGAGAGAGATCGAGAGGTCAGCTACATCTAATAAGACCATCCCTAGTCTTGAGTGGCACTAGACCGTAAGGAGAGACGTCTGAGCTCAGGGGGAGTGAGTCTTGACACCAACACTTCTGCAATAGAAGACTGAACCAGAGCAATCTCATTAGCAGCTCAAATATCCCAGCAACACATAATCGACACATGCAGCGCTGTTAAATACAGCTGTCACCATGACATTTACCACACATCTTGATTCCTGACTGCCCATGAGTATCAGTATCAATATTTTTTTTACAGTGTTAACAATTCAAGTCAATAAGAGGATGTCAAGCATAAATTTACAATGTATAATGAGTATGTGGAGAATTTCAATACAGCTCAAAGTACACTAAAAACAATATTCAGAATAAACCTAGAACCTTCTAATCCCCAAACAAACCTCTTTACTCTATCATTAGCCAAAAGCAGCTGCTTTTTTTGAGTTGGAATAACAACATGCAGCCATCAAATTCAGAGGAAATATGAATTAAGAAACCTGTTGAAATAAAACTAGCTACAGAGTCTCAATCATTCTGGGATTTTAATAATTTGACAAATGCTTTAATACACTATGGTTCCATTTGAATAATTGGTTTACCTTTATGGGGTCAAAATGGGGTTTAAGTCCATTTTTTTTGTTTTAGTGTGAAAACACGTTGAAAGCCAAATTATCCCTTTAACGAATCAACACATGCGCCAACGAACAAACAAATCAGAAAGAGATCTGCATTTTACATATTATAGCACAAGCTTCTGTTTGATATCTTTCTGCTCACCTGGTGTGTGCGTGACGTCACGGGAGCACACGTGCAATCAGTTGATCTAATAAAGAATGAGAATGTGACGTAACGCCGCGTTGAGTTCTGGGAAACTGCTTTGTTTATCCGCCATACTTGCAGGGTAGCGCTGCCTTTCCGCTATTGAGTTTAGGGCAGTATTTGATTGTTAGTCGTGATTGTGAAAAATGTCACCAGTGTATGTCATTCACACTGCATCGATAATTGCAATAGTAACTCCGAGCATGTTCTGAGAGAAAAATGGACAATGCTATATGTTTTTTCGCCTTTTCTATGTGTAAAAACACCAAGGGAAGGAGGTCGCGGAGAAGACGCCGAGTAGTAAATCTGTAAATGTCACTGATTAAACCCACTGACTCTCACTCAATAAAAGAATCACATTGCTGTGTGTTTTTGAAAGTTTTGGTTTGGTTGGTTTAATAGTTAACATTACCTTCTTTGCGAGCATGACTCTCACTCTGCTTGTGGATTAGCAGAACTTGAACAGGGGACTTTCTAAAATGCTTAAAGTGGCTTAATGTACCAAGACAGTGATAAAGACAAAATTGTAAAGCATATACTATGTGCAGATATGCATATAAGATCAAAATGTGAACGCAACGCGTTTATTTACACGTTAAGCATTTTCCTCTCATATAAAGGACGCGCTTAATGCACCGAGACAGTGATATTTAAAGACCACGTTCTGTACACACCTTACTAATAAAGCATAATATGTGTGGAAAAACAGATGAGCCCAAACTGTAAAACAAATTCTATCAAACCTAAGAGAGAAATGCAGTGCGATAAAATAACTTCTCTTCCCTGCAAACGATACAAGGAAGAATGAATGGTTGTTTAACTTAAAGGCAAAAACAAAACAAAAGAGAAGCATTTATCCTTATCCACCTTTTTCTTCAACGCGGAAGTAAGTTTATGGGTGAGACTTCCGGTTCATTAGCAAAGTAAATAACGAGGAGAATAACAACGTGCAGTAAACGGTAAAACTGTTTGCACTTCAAACCAGTGTGTTAATAATTTCAGATAATACATTAAAATAATATGATAAGACACACCAACTTTCAATATCAAGCAGCAAAACGAACTGTTTTGCTCAGCTAAAAATAGCTGGACGGAGTGGACGCAGATGAAACCGGAAGCCATACCCATATATTTTCCAAATGGCCGCGCCCATTTTTACGACAAGAAAAAAGTGGAATCAAAATTGAACTGACAAAAGTAAAATCTTGATTATAATGTATTTTTAAAATATATATATTATCTACAGGAGTTGGTACATAATTACAAACTGGTCCGCCAATTAATGTTTGATCACAAATCATTTATTGTAAAAAAAAAATTAAAACAATGGTATAAAACATCAAAAAGTCCATTTTAAAAATAGCAAGAGCACCCTCAGTTGATACTGTATACAGATTTAGCAAACGCTCTATTGAAATTTTAGTTTGAGCTCTGGGGAATGTGAAATGTTCCTATTCACAGGGGTTTTGCAGTAGCAAGAAAAGTAGCCAATCACAGACATATTTGTTGCTCTCTTGAACGCAATGGCCAATCACAGGTGTTCAAAAAATCAACAGCTGTGTCTGTGATTGGCTACATTGCTCAATGCTACAAAAATACTTGTAAATAGAAACTAGGGATGGGCGATACCCCTTATTTTGTATTCGATACGATACCAATATTTTTCAAGGCAGTATCGTCGATACCGATTCGATACTTCTGCTCTAAACTTTTAAATTATGAAATGTATTAAATTATTAAATTACTAAGAGTAAAATGGGTAGTGAAAAGCACTTAACTTTATGTTTAAAACGCATTTTAACCTGTTTAATCTCAAATTTTTATTAGGAATACTGAGATCAAATACAAAAAAATACAACCATCAACGTATTTCAAAATTGTTACTTTTTTGTAACATAAAACTTTTGACGCTTTCAAGCCTTTACAAAATCTATCTCGCAGTCTTTTCATCCTATTGTTACAGTTTTATCTGAGGGTGCTTTTGACTGCGTGAGAAAATGGACTTGTGGCGTGAAAGTGTGAGAACAGTGTCAATTGCTTGAGACCTCACTTTTACCCTCATTCATTTCAGATACTCTATGATTTGACCGAAAAATTTAAGTGTTAAGTTTTAGTCAACTTGAAGCTCAAAGTTCAAGTAAGTTTATTTGTCCATCTGACAGTAAAATTAAAGTATGATTTTTTAATAAATTCTAAGTCTAAATTTTAAGTATGAATTTTTAATAAACAAAACAAGCCGTTTTGTACAGCTAAAGAAGCCATCTTCATTCAAGTCTTCAGATGTTATTCATTCTGTATACTGTATAAAGGGTAAGCTTTTTACCAGCAAATATCACACAATGATACACAACCTGGGCAGAAATGGACTTTATTAGTGTTACATCTGTAAATATGAAATCAGATGATAACAATGTTTTATAAAGAGGGTCCAGAAGACACAAAGATTTCAATCTTCAGTGCAACCCTTAATATTTCCTCCATGTTAATTGACAATGCAGTGAACATGATTGATTGACAACAATTCATATTTTATGTTGTACATATTCAGTAATTAACTGCTTTACAAAAAGCAAAATAATACAACGTCATAGTCACTTGTATTTACAGCGTAGTAAATATACTTTTCTATTTTTACACAAAAAATATTTACAGAGGTGACGCTATTAGCATAAAAAAAAGAAACAAAAGAGAACAATTATGTAAAAGTTTGCATAACCTCAAGTGCCGAAAGAAAAAAAATCACTATAGTGTTTGAAACATCCAACAATCTCTGCCATTACTAAACCACCCATGTTCAACCCTTGACCTTTCTCACATTAAGACGTACCAATATGAAAGCAACAATTAGTAAAACAGAAAAAAAAAGATGTCTCCCCCCATACACAGATTTCAACATGTCTAAGAGTCAAAATGGCACCAGTGTATATGGGGTAACGGTAAAAGATTTCAAGCTTGGATTTCACTTGAGAGAAAAATAGAACAAAAATACAAACATCAGCACACAGGGCATTACATTTACTGTACATGACCAGTAAAGAAAACCTGCTGCAGTCCACAAACTCAAAACTAGATGGTACAGTCTTGTGGAACTAAGAATATTAAAGTTCAGAAACCAAAACATTGAGAAAATAAGGCTGAAGTAAACTTTGAAAAAACCATTAGAGTTGTCCCTAAAAAAGCAAGTTTTTCAATCTCTTTTTGTTCAAGGGGCCATATCATAGTATAATACTAGCATAGCATTCATAATCTGAATGCTTTTTCAGTTGACAGCTGATTATTTTTTCCTGCAAAACTGCTTTTTTATATGCTAAATTACATTCAGTCTTCAATCTCTCCCCTCTAATCCAAAACTGACAGATCATAACCACCACAAGAGCTGTAATAGATTGACAAATAACAGCTAATACATTTCAGATAGATCAGGCCAATCAGAATTCAGAAATTCACAAAGCATTTAGGTAAAGTATGTTGGGTTTGGGATAGGGATCGTAGTTTGGGTGGACCAGCAACTTATAAATATTGTTTTACTATATTAATACTATAATATAATGAATACTTTATATACTAGACAATTTAAAGGCTATTAAAGGTTAATTTCTGCAGTTAATTTTGTACATTTTTGTTTTAGGGGACTCTCCAGGAAACTAAATTATTCCTTCCATACAAAGAAACAACCACAAAAGATGCAAACAAAAACAAAACGTAAACATAGTTAAGCAAATCAAATCAAATACAATTGAACAAAAAAATGGCACTTGGTTAATACATTTATCTTTTAAATTTAAGACAGAAATTAGTGCTTTTAAATAAAATACTCAGGACACCACCTTTAGGCAATGTCTGTGATTCCATCAAATCTATATAAAAAAAACAAGTTAAAGTTCTGTTGTGAACAAACAAAATAAAATAAAAAAATATGGGACTTTCTCCCATCCTGTGTAAAAAACAGTGACTGGTTTAAAAACAGAGGCGTTCAGTTTATTTTGATCCTGGCAGACACGGCTTAACAGTTTCAAGAGAACCTACAGATTACCGTAAACGGCGGGTTTAGCAGGAGTGAACAAAAACCGCATAAAATGCAGCACAATGTATGTCAGATGTCCAGCAGGGGCTAAACCCTGCTGTGCTGTAGGTCTCATACAATCTTTTTGATACTAGGTCTTTTAAAGCTGCCGGTGCTGCGTTGTTTCTGGACCTGGCTGGCTGAACCGTGGCGTGTGCGTCCGCTGGCTGCCAGACCCGTGGTGGGGGACAGATCCACCTTCTCTTTATCGGTTCCTGCTCAAGGCAAAAACATACATACATAATTATACAAAGCTACAATTTTCTGAAGTGTCAAGATACATATCCTAAAATTTAACAACCATTTAAAGCTTCTGTTCCTAAATTTAAATTATGGAAATTCTGTCATTAATAATTACTCACCCTTATGTCGTTCCAAACCTGTAAGACCTTTGTTCATCTTTGCAACACAAATTAAGATATTTTTGATGAAATCCGAGAGCTTTCCGACCCTCCCATAGACAGCAACGGAACTGCCACGTTCAAGGCCCTGAAAGGTAGTAAGGATATCGTTAAAATAGTCCATGTGACATCAGTGGTTCAACCGTAATTTTATGAAGCTACGAGAATACTTTTTGTACGTAAAGAAAACAAAAATAACTTTATTCAAAAATGATGGTTGAAGCACTGATGTCACATGGACTATTTTAACGATATCCTTACTACCTTTCTGGGCCCTGAATGTGGTAGTTCCGTTGCTGTCTACGCAGGGTCAGAAATTTCATTAAAAAAATCTTAATTTGTGTTCTGAAGATGAACAAAGGTTTTACAATTTGGATCGCTATGAGGGTGAGTAATAAAAGACAGAATTTTCATTTTTGGGTGAACTATCCCTTTAAAGGGGTCATATGATGCGATTTCAATTTTTCCTTTCTCTTTGGAGTGTTACAAGCTTCTGGTGCATAAAGAAGATCTGTAAAGTTGCAAAGACTAAAGTCTCAAATCCAAAGAGATATTCTTTATAAAAGTTAAGAGTCAACCACACCTACCTAAAACGGCTCGTTCTAACACGCCCCCACATATCTATGTCACGATGTGGGAAGATTTGCATAACGCCGCCCAAATGTTCACGCAAAGAAAGAAGGCGTAACTTTTATTCTCGCTGTAGAATTGTTGCTGCCGCCATGTCGTGAAGTGTGTTTCGTTGTGAAAGCTTTTGGTCTTCCAAAAGAGGATGATATCTGCTTTGTCATGCCTAGAGCTGATACTGTGCTGGTTGCGGAGGAAATACATCAACTTCGCGCTGTGGATCGCCAGATCGGCTTTCACCTTCTCAAGCCCACCGGCCGTTCCTCACTCAAGCCTGCCGAATCGCGAGTTTTGAGCAGTGTAGAGTAGGGCTTGTTGTTCGTCATTTCTCCGATTACAAATGCAGACATGGTTTTATGTTTACGCGGCGAGATGCAAAGCAACGCATAAAAAGACAGTATAAATCATTATAATCCATAATTACTGTATGTCCCCACTGGATGCAACAAATGCCTCGTTTATAATGGGTTTTAATGTTTTTGTCTCGTCGCTCCGGCTGG